GGACATTACAATGAACGTCATCCAATGTTATGCACCTACCAACGACTACAATGACGACGATAAAGATCGATTCTACGAAAGGCTGCAGTCAATCTTCGAGAAATGTTCACCAAAGGATTTGACGATTCTTATGGGAGACCTGAATGCCAAAGTTGGAATGGACAACACTGGATATGAAGACATCATGGGACGACATGGACTGGGAGAAAGGAACGAAAACGGTGAGAGATTTTCAAACCTATGTGCCTTCAACAAACTGGTCATCGGTGGCACAATATTCCCACACAAACGCATACACAAAGCTACATGGATTTCACCGGACAACACTACTCAAAACCAGATTGATCATATCTGTATCAACAAAACGTTCAGAAGGACTATGGAAGATGTGAGAACCAGGAGAGGAGCTGATATAGCATCAGATCACCATTTGCTAATCGCCAAAATGAAACTGAAACTAAAGAAGCGCTGGACAACGGGACAGACAACATCACACAAGTTTAATACGGCCTTTCTTCGGGATACTGTAAAGCTCAACGAATTCAGGATAGCCCTCAGCAATAGGTTCCAGGCCTTTCAGGATCTACACAATGGAGAGGACGCAACATTGGAGAACAATTGGAAAAAGATTCAACATGTCAGGAGGTCCTTGGTCGCAAGAAGCACCATCACAAGGAATGGATCTCTGTTGACACTCTCGCAAAAATTGAAGAAAGGAGGAACAAGAAAGCAGCAATCAATGTCAGCCGAACAAGAGCAGAGAAAGTTACCGCACAAGCTGCATACACAGAAGCAAACAGGGAAGTGAAGAAGAGCATCAGAGCTGACAAACGAAAATACGTGGAAGATCTAGCAACGACGGCGGAAAAGGCTGCAAGAGACGGAAACATGAGACAATTGTACGAAACTACAAAGAAGCTCGCCGGGAACTATCGTAAACCAGAACGACCAGTGAAAAACAAGGAAGGCAAAGTAATCAGCAACACTGAACAACAGCGAAATAGGTGAGTAGAGCACTTTAAGGAACTATTGAATCGACCAGCTCCACTGAACACACCCAACATCGAAGCAGCATCGACGGATCTCCCAATTAATATTGGCGCACCTACGATTGAGAAGATCAGTATGGCGATCAGACAAATCAAGAACGGCAAAGCAGCAGGACCAGACAACATTCCAGCAGAGGCAATGAAAGCAGATGTAGAAGCAACTGCGAAAATATTTCACATTCTCTTCAAGAAGATTTGGGATGAGGAACAAGTACCATCAGATTGGAAAGAAGGATACCTCATCAAAATACCAAACAAAGGCGATCTCAGCAAGTGTGAGAACTACACAGGCATCACTCTTCTTTCAATACCAGGCAAAGTCTTCAACAGGGTATTGTTAAACAGAATGAAGGACTTCGTAGACGCCCAACTTCGAGATCAACAGGCTGGATTTCGTAAGGATCGATCGTGTACTGACCAAATTGCTACATTACGGATCATTGTAGGACAATCAATTGAATGGAACTCACCACTCTACATCAACTTCATCGACTACGAGAAAGCATTTGATAGCGTGGATAGGAAAACACTGTGGAATCATGTTCGACACTACGGTGTGCCTGATAAAATAGTCAACATCATACAAAATTCTTATGATGGATTCAACTGCAAAATCGTGCACGCAGGTCAGCTGACAGACTCATTCGAGGTGAAGACCGGTGTGAGGCAAGGTTGCTTACTCTCACCCTTTCTCTTTCTCCTGGTCATCGACTGGATTATGAAAACGTCAACATCTGGAGGGAAGCACGGTATCAACTGGACAGTTAGGACGCAGCTGGACGATCTGGACTTCGCAGATGATCTGGCTCTTCTATCGCACACTCAACAACAAAAGCAAGAGAAGACGACCAGTGTAGCAGCAGCCTCTGCAGCAGTAGGTCCCAACATACATAAAGGAAAAAGCGAAATTCTCCGATGCAACACAACATGCACCAAACAAATCACTCTTGATGGAGATGCCTTGGAGGACGTTAACACCTATACATATCTTGGCAGCATCATCGACAACCAAGGTGGATCGGATGCGGATGTGAGGGCACGGATTGGCAAAGCAAGGGCTGCATTTCTACAGTTGAAGAATATCTGGAACTCCAGACAACTTTCAAACAAAACCAAAATCAGGATTTTCAATACAAATGTGAAGACAGTTCTACTGTATGGAGCGGAAACATGGAGAACTACGAAAGCCATCATCCACAAGATACAAGTGTTTATTAACAGCTGTCTACGCAAAATACTTCGGATTCGTTGGCCAGACACCATCAGCAACAACGAACTGTGGGAGAGAACAAACCAGATTCCAATGGAGGAGGAAATCAGGAAGAAGCGGTGAGAGTGGATAGGACACACATTGCGGAAAGCACCAACTGCGTCACGAGACAAGCCCTCACATGGAACCCTCAAGGCAAAAGGAAAAGAGGAAGGCCAAAGAATACATTACGCCGAGAAATAGAGAAAGATATGAGAGGAATGAACAAACATTGGACAGAACTGGAAAAAGAAGCCCAGGACAGAGTTGGTTGGAGAAAACTGGTGGGCGGCCTATGCTCCATTTGGGGTAACAGGCGTAAGTAAGTAAGTAAGTGAAGAGAATATCTATATTCTATGTTTAACTTAAGTATGTGACAAATTGGTGAGTACAGTCGCTTCTTGGTTTTTAATGACTCCAAGTGATGTAAGCTGAAAGTATGGGGAATTCTTTGAGGATATTACGAAAATGAAAGTTTCGGTTTCTATGTATTGATTGTTTTTAGTGTGGAGATGATATTTCAATTTAAAACTAAAAATTTACTAGATACACCTTATCCGTTCTAGTTTAGGACTCGTCCGTGATAAACAATAACTATACCCCTCCCCCACTGGTTGAAACCAAGATTGCAAGTTAGATTGTTAGCAATTTTGAACCAGATACTTAAGAATTAATGAGAAATATTACTCATATTAGTTAAGTTATCATATAACATAAACTGAATTTTAATTTCATTAGTGATGACCATTTCTCCGCTCGATATATGGTTCAAGTGACTAGAACTTTGACTATCAAGTATCAATGTTGATCACTAGTGTCCAAAAGAGAATTTTTTTCCTCATGGACTGATTTTTATTTAGGAAACTATTGTAACCTAAAGAAAATTTGAACTGCAGTTTCATTTCATGTTTGTAAATAATTTCTATCAAACAATTCATAATACTATCACAATACTGTACTACTCAATTTTTATTTATTTGTACACAATACTTGATAAACTTTTTTTCTAATTTAACACACAAAATATATATATATATATTCTCCGGATAAGTAAACAAAAAAGAATGAGAAAACAACATCTCAGTGAAAACTATGAGTTCTGTTGAAGAATAATCTTTTATTGCATGCAAATACAAATATGAATTTGTTGTCATCATTATCAACGTGTGTGTTTACAAATACTGCTGTTTCTGAATTCCGTCACTGTGTTTCCTTTCTTATTCACACAGTGTATGAATTACAGAAGAAAATTATCTACCAAACAATCAGAGTGCATATATAAACACAGGAATAATAATAATAATAATAATAGGTCTGATTATAAAAACAGGCACATTTTATGAGACACAATTTGGTTCTTTTGAAAATAAATTACAGTGTAGTCTTTCATGATTACAAAATGATTTTTTTTTTCAAACATAATCTCTCATCTGTTGTTTAGACATTCTCACAATACAGACTTCATATTGATTGCCTTGATAAGGTATTTATGTTTGAAGTACGGAAACTTGTTTCAGTTCATTTAGTAAAATAACTACATTCGAATTACGTCTTCACAGCATTATCGATCCATGTTGAAACTTTTAACAGATTAAAAGTACAGACATGCAAGTTATCTATGAGATGATTGGTCGATAGATCACATCAGCTTCATACACATCTAGTTATAAATTCTTTACAAAGAAAATTGAAAAACGAAACACCATGATAGATTAATTAAACATTATAGACTGCGACCGTTAGAGTGTGAAAAAAAACAATTATTTGAACATTTAAAAGGAAATGATCATGTGGACAGATTAACAAATATACACAAAGTACTTCGACAAGTTTGGTTTGATTGATTAATTTAATGAATATGCTTCTTTTCATAGTTATAAGTGATCAGTTCAGTGTTTAATTTCATATTGCAGATAGATAATAATTTACATTAAAAATTAGTGAATATTAAAACAAAGTAGTAAAAGCTCCATATCACCGAGCTTCCCAGTAATATTTATTAGGAGCAATATTTTTCAGAGGTTTCTTACTTTGAATTTAATTAAGTTTCAGACTTTGTTTATTAAAAAGCTTGAGTTTAAAAAATGTCAGCTCAATATTCAATGTTTATGTTTCGTCAACAAAAATAAAGTGTTCCAACAGACAACAACAAGTTATCTTAAGGAAACTTAATATATCGACAAATAAACTTCAGTGAGTAAGACAATGATACTGATAAATGAAATGTTAATTGAGAAGGAAATGATGCGGCAAGGGATTAGGTAGATGAGAACATGTTCACCATATGAATAATTATTAAATTAAAATAAAATGCTTTCTAGATTTCAATGCATCTTTTCCCTTGTACGCAGGAAAAAATGTCAAATTGTAAGGAGTACACACAAATGAATGATTCATTTGTTGAAATCAGAAAATAAAACAAATAGTTTGATTATTCATTTATCGAGTAAAATTAATGTTGTGTTTCTTGATAATTTGAAGAATTTTAAACAAAATAACTGAACTTTTACATGTAATAAGCGTTTTTCTAAGTCATTTAAGGTTTATTTTTTATTATTCATATAAATATTTTCAATGAATAAAGTAAAATGGATAACTGAATGAGTGAATTTATCAATAAATAGTTAGATTACATCATAAAAATAAAAATGAACACCATTATGTTGTGCAATATAATTGAATGATCGATAAAACATTTATTCCTTATTTACTGTTCATAGGTTAACATCGTTAACATTCCAAATAAATAGATCAATAACAATTACAAATCATACGAATGATTCCTAAATTAGAAAGTATGTATATCTTTAGTGATTCATTATTGTTTATAAATTTTCTGGTGTACGGAATAAACATCAATCAGTGTATCTGAAAGTTATACTCATGTCATTTTGACTGAATTAATTTATTAATCAGGTTGATGATGGTGAAATGTACATTGTTAAAAGGCATATTGTCTGTGCATTTACATTTTTGTTTATTATTTACGATTCTGTATTCATTTCCTCCCCTCCCACATCTTCTTTTTTTCTATCATTAATCATCGGCTTATGTATTTCCTGAGGTTGTAGAAGTTTCTTCATCATCTTCTGCTGCGGTTGCTAATTTTGGTCGAGCTAATTGGGCAACTTTTAATTTTGGCTCTTTCGCTTGACATTCATACCAATCACGATTATCCTCTAATGTGTCTAAAATTAATTGAGCGCATGGATGTACCAGATCACACCATGTTTCCCATAATGGATGACATACAAAATCAATAAAACTGACCTACAAGCGAATAAAAAGAGATAAATGGATGTGTTTAGGAACAATATTGATAATAACACTTGAAAATAACACTTGATAAATACTTTCATTAAACGTTGAACAAATAGTTTCATACCAGTTGGATGTCGAGTTTAGAATCAACCGAAAATCATCACAAAACTTGCAACTCAATCGACAATCTATTGTCGATTATGTTCAAGATTTTCATGTTTAAACCTGTAGAAATATAACTGCTTGTTTTACAATTTATTACATGCCTATGAAAATCATAGAGCTTGAACTTTAGACTGAAAAAATATTTCATTTAAATGATAAAGATTTTAAATCTTTAAGTAAACGTTAACTCCCTTAAATAACAGAATGATAAATGATTACCATGTAACTGTCAATCAATTATGAATTATATTCATAATAAATAAATAATAAAATTGTTTAATATGTATAAAACAACAACAAAAAAATTTTTTTAAATAAACAAATGTGAATAAAGTATCTATTTGAATAAGTTAGATAAAACTTACAAGGGTACAATAATAATAATAATAATAATAATAATAATAATAATAAAATTGAACAATGGATCTTGATAAATTGAAATGAATGAATAAGTAAATAAATCGAATAATCTTAAACATATGAAATGGTTGTATTGAGGTCAATTCCATTAAAAAAAACAACATTAAATCAATAATTGGGATTGACTATAGAATTCAGTAAGTGTAAACCATTTTTAAATATTATAATAATTTTATTGGATTTCATTTAAATTGGAAGTAGCTCGCGCTGATGTACCAGACCAAACGTCTAGGATTCGATTCCTGTTGGTGGAGGTCGTGTGTGCGTATTGCTGATGAGTCCTAAACTAGAATGAAATGGTCATTTAGTGCTTCCAGGTTTCGAATGATGATCTAACATTTGGTCGATTTATTGGACTCTTAAGAATGTTGTATCATTTTGAAATTTTGACATGACTTATTCAATAAAGGCAATAAAGACATTTACTGATTAACTTATTTCAAATAATTCAGTTTCTTGCATAAATCAATCAATCATACCTCTTACACTGATTGAAAATGATTATTTTTTTTTCATAATCACACTCTGGTATCGACATTGTTAACAGTAGTCAAGTTTCGTTTCATGACTTATGATATTTTTTGTCTTTTTGGTAAGATAAGACTATCAGATAATCATTCAGATTGATTAATTAGGGCACAGTAGTGGTCTGAAAAGATGTAAACACTAGTTAATCTGTGACGAAAATCACATGGAAATTAAGCAAAAATTTCTCTAATCTTCAAAACAAAATAATAGATTGGTAATTAAATTATCAAAAGTTCAAGTTAGATATTGTGAAAAATGGGGTTTGGACATATCAGAGGTGAAAAAGACAGAGCGAGTAATATTCTATAATCTTCAGACATGCTTCAAACTGATTGCAATCGAAAATGTGAACCATTGGATATCACGTTATCAATTTACTGGTGACCAGCTTCCTAGGATTTTGTATGAGCTTTCGATCTATGGCAGAGTTATTGACATATGCTCTCGACAAATTCCATTTGAAGAAAAACTAATCATTCAATCACCAATGTTTCTTTGTCAGTGATACTATACTGACAATCTTACAAGTTTTGTTGCACTCCATCCCTTTTGTTAGGTAGCCATAGAGTGCGGAGTTATATGGTCAAACGTATTTCTGAAATTCCTTACTAAAAGCATACTTTGTAAACTTGAGGTATACAACGCATATAAGTGTTACAGCATAAATTTACACCGCCTTCGATTGCATCATTTGAATCAGTGAGGAAATGACTTGATAATCAAAGTTCTTATTTTTCAATAAATAGATTGTGGCTTCTAATTCTATCTACCTGATTCAGTCAAGTAGTTGTACCTTTAGTCTATGTATAAACTAGATGGCTTAATAAAAAATCATTGAAACTAGTGACTGGTAAATGAGAACTTTTTTATCACAAAATATTTACTCTTGTACTGTCAACAATATCGAATATTTCTATTTACTGAATGAATCCTTAAAATCAAATGCACAATGATGCTTCATGTAACATTAGTATTAATGCTGTTTATGTGACTGAATCAATAAAGTGTACTTTTTTAATTATTTCAAGTAAAGCAATAATGTTTTCCCAGAAAAATGAATGAATATCGAAATTATAGTTATAATTCATTCGTGAAAAGAGAAGGATGCATCAAATATTTTTTAAAGCAATACAGAATTAGATGAAATAATAATTTCGCATTACAAGTTCATATAAATAAACGAAAAAATCAATTCGATCTCAGTAACAGTTATGTTTTGACTGGCTATTTAAAACTTATAGCTTGACTACACTAAGCTTTGATATAAAACGACAAATATAATTTTACATAAAAATTTACTAAGAATTCATTCGTGAAATACAAATAAACATATATGTCTATAAGATAGCAGCTAGTGATATTACTCAGTTATCGAAATTCGTAATAAAAGAGGTTCTGTAAGTAGTTACGTTAAAGTCATTAAACCCATTGATCCTATCAAATAAATTTATCATAAAAAAGTGTTTACACACACAAGAACTAACAACTGACCTGAGATTTTTCTACCTCAACCGATTCACGATCACACATTGGACTAATTTCCAATGATAACTTTCTTTCTTTATCTCCTTGTCGGAAAAATTCTTCAATTAAACGTCCTGTCCATTTACGATATAATCGTAATGGTTTAGCTGGATTACTGAGATCAGCACAATGAATCATATTTTGTAATATCTATTCAGCACAAAAAGAAAATACAATTTCAAAAACAAACAAACATTGAATTTGGTGAAAATTAAATCGAAGCCATATTTTCCAATGAATGATACATAAAAAACATAATGTAAATCAGGAATGTTTTGGAATAAAAACATCATCCTGATAATAATTAACACGATATTTCTGAAATGTACTACTGCATGGGAATATGATAACTTTCATAATAGGTTTGTGAAGATCCAAAACAAGTGTTATTGTATCAGGTTTGGATTGTGAAAATAAATCATAGCAATCGGTTACATTGTCATGTAGACAGCGATTATACATGATTTTGAAATATTCCTATGTTATATACATCAGTTGTTCGTAAATTGGGATATTAGAACAGCAATGTATATTCGGATCACTGAACAAAATGTATAAACTGACACTTTTGAATAATGGAGTTTCCGGTTGTTTGACATAGAACAACCTGTTTTAAACAAGTCTGACATTTTTAATTCACAATAAAATAACAGAATAGAATAGTTTAATGTTTGTTCGTAGAGACAACTAACAAATACAAATGGTAAGCTATAACGTTCAAATAGTCTAGTGTGGATAATATCTGTGGACACGATTTATTGTAGGTAGAAAAATTTGATCATTTACTCTAATAAATTTCATTCTCATTAGATCTGTCATGACGTTCGCAAATTGTGTGTCAATTAGATTATCGATTGTAGCTGTGTTACAGAGAAGAATTTTCAACGATTTAAAGAATTACTAGGCAAGCTACGGAGCGATAAACGGTGATACGATATGGTCGAATGATGGTTTCACACGAAGCAGAATTTTTGATCCAAACCTCCGGAATGATTTAAGCCTACAAACACGATCACTAGCCAGAATAATAAGGCTTTTCATCTATTTGAGTGACATCTTCAAATGTATAAGGAGCCTCTCAATTATGCTTAGCTTGCTTTGCAACAGATTTTGTCCATTTTCTAGGATAAATGAAGTAATTAGGAGAAAATGTGACAATCCTGATGAAAGCGAAACTACATAAATTTTTTCAATCTCTCTTTCCACACGGATGCTTGATCCCCAGAAATCTATTTTTAAAATTCCTAATTTATTTATGGGAATGACTTATTTCTGCACCAAAAGCGTCTGTTACTATTTTCGTTATAAGTTTCCTACGTGGAGGGACCTTAAACTTCATAGGCTCATTTTCTCTTATAAGACGTTATTGTGCAACTCTTTCAAGGACACTTTTCGTATTGCATATATTATGCTTGAGTTGGGGGCGTGTTGTTCATTCGTTTCAGGATGATATATTCTCCCTACTGACTCTGAACATTTTCCTCTAATTAGCTAGGCTGAGGTGCAGTGGAATAGGTTAGCTAGAACTGTCAGCATGTCGCTGGTCATACGTTCCGTACTCTGACACCAAGTTGTATCTCAGTTATTCAGTCAGTATTATTGCCGCCAAGTTTTAGTTTTTATTCTAAACTTCCCTACATTAAAGTCAAGTAAACAATTGTCAGTCATACTTTTCAAGATAGTGTTTCTCACTAGCTTTTGAATTACTAAAAAAATTTTGTTTCGATAAGTAAAATGCGGGTATTTCGATTCCAGCAATCACTTACCTGTATACGATCAGCATAATTGTCCAAGTTTAACATACCAGAACCAGAAACTTTCTTAGTTTCAACCATTGTTCTTAAATCAGCTAATAAACTCATATGCTTCGACATATCTGTGGCTAACACCTGTATGCGTTAAAAAGGGTTTTACAAACATTTAAACAGATTAATACCTTATAACAAAATTTAACTAATAAACTTAACTTCGAAATTTTAGATTACAAGATGACCTTAGTTGGACAGTTATACGCAGCCACGAAGCGCTGGATACCTTTTTATTCCTAATATAGTGCTCTTCACCAGAACGAACTCACAGAACTACTGAAGATCGAACCAAAGAATATTGGATCTCATGGCAAGTACTTGACCTTAACACCGAAAAGTTTGCGACCTTGTGGTTTACATTTCTAACATCAGCCTATATGCCGTAGAGTGAGGATCTGTGTTATTGCTACTACTGATATTTATCTACCCCTAGACAATGTTGAATAACGGCGGTCAATTTACGATACATAATCACGACGTTTGACAATCTCCAAAACCTTACATACCAGTAACTTTTATTCAACTTCGTTGAAAGTTTGCAACCATTGTTAAAATATGTCAACATTGCATCTTATAATGTCGAAATCAGTTTCAAAAAATCCCATTGATTTATATTGAAGCTTATAAAATAAAATATCTCTCTCCGTTTTAATTCCACTCCATTTGATCACATAAAAAATGGGTAAAAGAAGAGAAAACCAGTTCGCGTTTTCAAATTTCATTAAACTGTTATTTAGCATCACTGATTAGCATTAGTCTTTATATCCAATATAGCGGACTTACAGTTTAGAGCTACATAAAAAGATTTCAATATAAACACTATGAAGCGAGTAACTAATAATGAGTGTATAATGCAATGAAACCTAGTTATTAATTAGAACAAATCCTAACAAATTACAGCATTACAACGCGGTTTACATAGTTCATCTGATGAAAAAGATAATATCAGTCAAGCTACGCCAAACCGCTCGTTTAAGTTTAGTGCATTAGCTGCCACTTTAGTAAAACATTTGTAATCGTATTACTCAAGTTATCAATTCATTTTTCGTTAAGACTTCAATTTGCTAACGAATTAGTCAGATATAAGATTCGCATTTTAATTTGCAATCTATCCATCCATTTAGCAATATAATTGATTTGCGTTGATGATGAAAACACTAACTCAAATTCATAAACCTAGGCTCAAATACGAATTCTCCACACTTATTTATTTGTTTAGTAAGTGGTTAAAATTGCTGAAGGTCACTTTATTACCACTCAAAAGTTGTTCAAAAGTTTTGGTCTAAGTGCAACGTTTGTTAACACAAGGTTATCTACGCATTAAATTATCCACTTTATTACCTAAGGTTTTGCAATCCAGTCAACCATTTTGTTTAGAATTCAAATTTGATCTCTTTTAGTTCAGTATCACAACTCACTATTCATCACTCCAGAATCACGAGCTTAATTTGCCCTTATGTACTTTTAGTTGAATAATAGGCAAACTCATCCATTTGTCCTTGGCCGTATCAAGTGGCCTAATTTGTTCACTGAACATTGATAATAATCGTACTCATACAGACACATTCATAGACATGTCATCAATCGGATGAATTTCACATCCAATGACGCGTTTTTTTACTGTACACAAAATTTGTTATGAACCCTATTTGTCTTTGATTATTCCCATGAAGAGTGTATAAACGAATTACAGGTTGAAACGTTGGAATTATTTTAGTTTCAAAGATATATTTTTTATAAACGTGGTACCACCCGATTTCTATCATATTGTCTCCTTAATTTTGTATCATATTTAAAAATTCATATAAAATTCATGATAGCAATCAGACTTACCAATTCTATAACCATTCTACGTAATGTCTGACGTTTTTTACCGCCCAAATTAGCAAATATATCACAGTCTTTTTCAGACAGAATTTTAAAAGCCATATAAAGATGATGATTTTCCAGAACAGATGAATCATTATATTGTAAGGCTAATTCATGACCTAAATTTTAAATTTAAAAAAAGAAAAAGAAATTAGATTTTAATAAATAAAGATTAAATGAAGAATTTTAGTGTATGAAGATAATTTTTTGATTGAAGTTTATAATCACAAATTTAATCATTGTTATTATTATTATCTTTTATTAATCCTAAACTATGTTATGGCTTATCCATACAAAAAGAATAAATTCTATTCTATCTTGTGAAATAGGACAAGTTATACAAGTTAACAACATTGTTTTCAGTCGGGCTTCACTAATCAAGGGAGTTTATACGCTGTAATGATAACAATTAAAATAGATTACATGATTAAACATAGTAAAATGTACGGATTATTGTTAATATGATAATTATACTAGTTGTGTCAGCAGTCGGTTAAAATTTAGAAAATTAAACATTCAAATTGTTAGAACATAAAGTATTTGTGTAGACTGTAAAACTTGACTAGAACACCGTTGAAAACTTCGATGAACTAGATGAAAGTCCAGCATAGGCCTTCTCAGTTCTGCACATCTACAACTAAGCATTCAGGAGTTTAATATCAGAATTGTGGTTCTTCCCAAGAATACTTAACGTCTAGACCAGTTAGATGGTATACAACGGTGTAAGTGTCAAATTTCAATCAATTCACAATATTATGGAGTATTCATTCATTGCTATCTTACACCGCATATGGTTCAAATCCACTGGTTGCTGCTTCTCATTAGAAGTCTTGGACTTGTATCTTGATACTAATCACTTGGAAATTCGCTCTTGGGATCGAAGGTCCTGGATTCAATACACAGATGTGTAGAAGTCATGGGTACATAAGTCTAAGGAGAGTCATAGTGGTATGAAAATTTTATTCAGTGACTTCAGTTTTTTAATGGTAATGTAACTAAAATAAGTTTGTGATTTAAAATAAAGGAAATTAAAATGTTATAGTTTCATATGCTTAGAATAAAATTGTATAGCCTAATAATAAAATTGTTGAACAGAGATCTTTTGGCTCAATTTGCTTCTAGTCATGTTTAAGTAGGATTAAAAAGCCGATTAAAATTAACCAGTGAAAGAAATAAAAAATTATGAATTAACAAGTATGCAACTAATCGATACAATTTAATGGATAGTGAACAATAGGTAGGAAAGAGAGATGAAGCAAAGTGAAAAAAAAACAGTGTAAAAGTACAAGTAAAATTGTTTATTAGTTCGTATCAGACATTAAAAATTTCCTAATGATATACATTCCGTGGTTGGAGATTTGAGTCTCTACGTATCTCTATGTGGAAGAAGAAACTTGAACTAAAACCGATCTGATCCTTTACATTAAATGACGCAATCTGATATATAGAAACTCCTCATTATAGCTATATTTCATTTTAAATTAAATCACTGTACAGTTCACTTTATCAGTAAATTTCCGAAACTCTCGATTAGCTCACCGTAATCTATCCACGAAATAAAATCACTATCATCCTTTATTCGCTGCATCAATGCCTCCTACTTTTCAGAAAATGATTTAATTGTGCTTAGAGCTGTAAGAGTATCCCATTTCCTTGGAGAGATTATAGGAATTCTAAATGTCTAGTCGTTTTAATACTGAGTTCTTTAATTAACCTCCTTACTGGTAGACACTTTACACCAACACAGTCCCTTGTAAATGAAACTAATTTAAATAGTATCTAACCTGAACATTAAATCATAAAATAACCTTACACCTGAATCATCGATGATCTACAAGATCTGACTGACCTATCGTTCTAACTGTTGCTTTCGTTGATGTGTGCTTTCTGTCTGCATTTTACTCAGTCAGGCACTGGAAACGATAGTTAAAACACCATCCATACATAAACAGGGTGTCCGGTTAAAAAGCATGATTAGCTTCTAACTGATACCTTTTATTACTTTAATGTACGTGAAGAAAGTACTTCCAAAACAAGTTTTAAACTAAAACATTTTAAAACAATCTAACGTGGCATATCTATCCTTTATATTAAACGTTTTTATCTACATTCACTTGATCATGCCTATAAACTGGCATGAATTTTGTAATTGTTATTTCCACGATGTAAATTACTATAAGGCTCTTTAGACTGCGTCATTAACTTCCACATATAACACATCATTATAAATATAAGTTTCTTCTGAACAGTCCATAATCCAACTTTTAATTCTATACATACGTATTCTACCTTAAATAGACTTAATGTTATCGTTTTGCGGTCAGAGTATTATAAATAATTTGTAATACTTTTCTTGTGTTGTCATTTAAGCAGAATGTTTTGCTCAGTCTATAAGATCCAGCTTAAAATAACACTATTTGTCTATATTTTAAGACTAATACTTACTAAACTATCATCAGAAATATGCAACTATAGAACGTTCAAAGAAGCGCATTCTGGAAACGATCACTCACACACAAACACACACTGGAGGACGTTCAAAGTCAGTTGATTGAGGACGGTTATCAAGAACACTAAACTGAAACCAGTGATTATAATACAGTTGGATTGATAGAATTTAGCTAGGGAACTGTGACATTGATTACTTCAGTATGAACATCTCAGTTGTGAGGGTAATCGGTCACCCTTTACTCAAATAACGTTGTAGTAAAGTTTGTGACTGTTATACTGTTACAATGTAAAGTATATTTGATGGGAATCTGTCCATAGATTATTATAACTTGAAGCGACATTTCGTCACTTATAAATGTTAACCATGAAACTCCTAAAAATTGGACAGCACTTAGCATGAAACCATTCAGCAGTAAACGGTCAAGACCTTGCTATGATCCAAATTCAAGAACATTGGTTCTCATAATAAGGACTAAACTTACAAACTATCAGTTTAACATCCAATCATTCTTATGTTCACCCCTAGTCAATTCAAAATATTGATTGGTCTCAGGGCAATCAATCTATTAGAAATATTTTATTATTTTCGATGTGTGAATAATTGACATTCAACAAACGGAGTAAAAAACCTTTTTTTTCATGTAAAATATTAATGATAATAATATGATTTCACTTAACATAAATTACCTCTTAAAATCATTGCGAATTAGGTCAGTTCATAAATCATCATAAGAGTTGCATTCATTTAAATTCATTGATATGTTCAATGTGTAAACATACATTAACTAACATTCAATCAAAGTATACATTTTAATTAACATAAGATGTATATATAAAAATGTATCTAAACTGTGTTATGCCAAGTGCCTGTTCATTTATCAAAATGTAATCATACATAGTATCACATTCAAATATAATTAATTATATAGACAAAGTAATTATATCAAATTATTTCCTAATAAAGAATGAGGATAATTTCATTGTAACATTTAATAAAGGTTATGAATTGTTCTATGCTTTACTATACCTTTTTTGTTAGCTTTTACTAGTGTTCGATTAAATAATTATACATTTTATCAGTATTGGGTTGTAGAAATAGTTGGGTTTCATTGAAATCCTGAATTGATCAATGTTAGACCACCAATAGAGTCCTGGAAGTACTGAACAACCGTTTCATCCGAGTATGCGACTCATCAGCAGTACGCATCAAAGACATTCGTACACAGGAATAAAACCGAAGACCTTCGGTCTCGTGCGAAAACCCTTAACCTCCAGACCACTGAGCCAACATCTAATAGTGTTTATGTCTAGCTTCAATCAATCCACCACATTGCATGACCACATCCATTGTCTTCGGTGAGTGGCTGCTTCATTTGTGACACTGATGTACTCTACTGGTAACGGCTTCTCACTAGAACTCCAAGAGATTCTTCAGTAATCTGCACGATTCTATAATAATCATTATCATGTGCTCACGAGCGACTGGCATCGTGATGAAATTTGTGCTCAAGACCGAAGGTCATCAGTTCTGTTCAAGCGAGCAAGTGTTGTAGTTGCGCACTGTTGATGAGATCAGTTCTAGGAAGAAACCATTGTCCAGTGCTATCAGGTCTCTAATGATGATCTAAAATTTTTCGATTCATGAATTCAATGAGATTTCACCGGTTAATTTGAAATATTTGGTTTTAATTAAATTGAAGTTAAGATCATAGTGACGGCAGTAGAACAAATTCATAAAAAAGATTTTGAAAAAAGAGAGAATCGTTTATTACAAAAGAATCAAATCCGCTTTTATTTACTTATTTTTATCCGTTTGTATTTACTTATGTCTAAGATATATATATATATATATATATATATATAATCAAATATGTCTAACATATTGATAATTCAAAAATTACACTGTACGTATATGTTTTATACGAAATTACCACATGACCAAGTCATTGGAACTGTAATTTTCCAATCAACAAAAGACTATCTAATTTAGAAATCTCTATCTAACTCAAATGAAATTTGAGCATTATGGTTTATAAGGTAATGTTATGTAACACTTTTTTAGTTAAACTAAGCAGTTCTATATGTGTAACAGTAAAAATTTCTACAAGCTCTTATTTTTACCTAGATTTTTTACTTGACAAACGAATTATACTGATTACATCCTAGAAACATGCACTCTCCAGCTAGAATGTTCAAATTTGTTTTACATAATAAAGTTTGAATGTTAAATGGTTGTTATAAAGCATACACATTGTTCAACAGGAATCAGAAGAAACTGGGTTTTATGTTACGGAATTCTTTGAGATGTTTTCACCGATGATAACATTTTAGAAAAAAATAACCATGATTAAAAAAAAGATAAATGTTCCATTTAAAATCACGCAATTATTTTTTTGATTGACTAGGAACAATCAGATTACATAATTTGGCAAGAAAAAAACAACGACTCGAGTTGTTCTTATTTTCAAATATTATTTAGAAATCTATTAGCATAAGAATGCTTGTCATTAGGAATATTCACTGATGGCAGTTTAGATTTAAGGACCATGAAGTAATTATTAGATTAGATTAGATTTTTTCATGCTTGTTGACTGCTTAGGCTACTAAGGGGTATTTTCTCGAATTGTATACCAATTTTTCTAGATAGATGCCATTACTTTTGGCATTAATTATGGACTGATCTATGTTCGAAATTCAATATCGTCTGGGAAGTACATATCCATAAATTTGTTGAAGGTTCAACACAGGAAATTCAAGTTTGTTTACAAGTGAATAGACTTTAGAGCATCGAATTTTTTCCAGTGGTTCCCATTTTGGACCAAAACCGATCTAAGGTATCTTTCGACAGTCACCAAACCGACTGCAGTTAAAATTTAGCATTCCCATTCACTATCATACTAATGAAACTTATTTTACATCTTCTCCTTTGGATTACTCAAGAGTCTGTTCACCAACTTATTCCATACTTCATCAACCTGGAATGTTCGGTGGCTGTAGGTAGTTGATAGGCATCTCTAATCTTGTCCTTCATGCTAACTGGAACTAATTAGCAAAACATCAGCAAACTTTGACAGAGGGTCTCAGTAGTAACGTCTTAGACAACTAAACTTCCGAGCTCAGGCTCAAACTCTGTAAGAAGCACCGGTTCTCCGAAGGATCTGAGGTACACCTTCCTGATTAATCCCAAGTAGCACAAAACCTAAGTCCATAGTTTGTTACTGAATTCCTCCACCCATCTTCGAACAAAATAAAGTGCATAAAATGTTGAGTCAATGAGATTAGTGATTATCGTTCGATTTAATAGTTAGCATATGATTTATACTGAAAGAATATTAAAGATTCCCATTGTGAAAATTAGAACAACACATATAAGCGAACAATATTGTTTTCGATTAGACCAAAAAGACACAACATTGGTCACTGCTCAATCAATGAGAAACTCAAAATAAAATCACAAAACAAAACACTGTCACTTTTAATTTACTTATGAGATCTCATTCAATTTTTTTAAAAAAAAAACAATAGAAAAGAAATCAATTAGCAATTGTTAAAGTGTTGACAGAAAATGATTAATTCTGTCAAGTAAAACAATTCATTGATGGTGATCATTGAAACAAGTGAAAAATTACTGATGAAAGATTCATTGTCTTTGAAAGTTTTTCACTCACTTACCGGTATTTATTAGAAATTGATTAGTCACTCCAGGATGATCCACATCATGGATAGCTGAAGCGAATAGAACAGCTAAAATTTCCAAATCGCTGAAAACATCCTACATACAAATGAATAACAAACTCATGTAAACAATAATTATTCCATTGAAAGTTAATTTAAACAATAAATTCTAAAACTGATATGCTTCCGTTTTATACAAGATGGTCAACCTAGGGATAAATCAATACAAAAATAGTAATTAGGTTTATTAAGAACCACTGAAACTGAACCTCACTGAAAAAGTTGTCAGATGTTAATCCAGTAAAGGTATCTTTTACGACTAAGTCATATTAATTGTCACTGCTTAATGTAGCGCATTCTACTAATTAATTATAGATGGTTATTTCTTTTTCTGAACACAAACCGTTTTAGTTAATTGTATTCGTCAGCTTTTCACAACCATCTTCGGATTCTACAACTCTAAATCTTAAGTGCTGTAAACGTAAGACACAAATTATTTATTGTACACAAATCATCATCAAAGAACAATCCATCAGTGAAACACGTAGAATTATTTGTCATCAAAATGACTTTGAGATAATTATTTTAACACAAAATTTAAGATCCGTTCCAGTTAGTGCTTCACTCATTCACAAATAATTTACCAACTAGTTCAAACTATTAATGATCTACCATAGCAGTGGATTAAATATACATTTCAGTCACCGGAGTAAACAAGTTTATTCTGTCTAGTTTATAATAACAGTTTAAGTAATCCAATAATAAACTGTAAGCTATAAAGATAGATTACAGTATCATTGAAGAAGAATACTGAACTTCTGATTAGTTCATAAACCGAAGCCTTACTTATACATAAGATCCAGTCTTTCCAAAACGGTGTTCAGTGACAGAGTCCGTACTGCATGAACACGTCCAAAGACTAATACAGAATGACAATACTAATGTTCTGAATCAATGAATATCTTTACAATATCTAACTTCAGTTGATTCGTGGTCTAGAATAGTGCAATGTATATTATTTAGCTCATCTATAGGTTTTTTTCATTTGATGAAACTTGGTTGCAACAATTTATTTTTTCTTTCTTCGTCAAACAAATTGACTTGATGAGTTTTTGATCGGTTTTTGAGAACGAATAATAGAAAGAAAGAAAAGGAATTGATATTTTAGAATAAACCTTTGCATTTCAAATAATGGGTTAACTTTCTTAAGAATAATAAATTTAATACGATTCCTTTATTATTCTAGACTCAGTTACATAGACATATATTTGGTTTGCAATTATAGTGAACCTTTAGTTAATAGTGGAATTCAGGACGAACGTTTTGGCCTATGTAAAACAAGTACCCTTGGTGTAAGTTTGGTGGCGTTTGCTTCTCCGAACTGAAAAGTTCAGCTGTAGAGCCTTCATATGTCTTCTGAACTGCATCATCAACACAAACTTAAAGGAGAAGCGAGGTACTCGAATTTCTCTACATATGACTTACAGCTTCTCCTGTCAACCTTAATCTTCAGTGATTGTTGTTGACTTTTAACTTGCCATGGTTAGCATCTTTATTTTGATTGCATCTCTCTTCGATCTGATTTTTGCTTCACTATTTGTCCACGATCTTTCCAAATGTTTGATAAATTGGGCCGATTTAGATAAATTTGTTGATTGCTGATTGACTTAAATGCCAGTCCTCTAAAAATTCTCTGGTGTTCTCAATATCGCCTTTGTCCAAGATCTCATCATTTTTTTCAGTCGAATATTTTGCTGTCTGATCCCCAGTTGATGTTCATACATGAGAATAATGAAGAGAACATCCATTTGACCCGATGCAATGTCTTCCCCAGTTAGAATAATTTACTTTGTAGATGAGGTTCGTCATTTCAACATTTGATTTACAAAAGATCGACTGATGTGGTTTTCCTGGTCAGTGTACTACATCTGTTAGAAATGGCTTCACTAAGCTCATAATTACAGTTACGAAAAACACTGCATCAGATAAAGAGAATTTCTTTGCTAGTATGATATACCCAACTATTTTGTACGCTTTTAAAGAATTTAACCTCCAATGAAAACTACTTCTAAGCCAAAAGAGTTACTTTGCTTTCACCCGAAATACACAACTATAAATTCACATAATTTAATAAATTTACCCTCAGTGGGCAAGGGTATTTTACACTGGTTTTCAAGAGAAACAGATACTGTTCAAGTGTTAACACGACAAGCTGAACAGTACAGGATATTCCTATGGCGCAACTACACAGGTACCTGACATGCTGTTGGATCATTCACATCATTTACATACAATGCCGATCCATAATCCATGACTCGAAATACACATATTTTAACTTCTAATCTAATTATAACCGTTAGTTTAGATTTTCAAACACAAATTTATCAACTACACTGAATCGTACAACTTACATCCAATGCTTCAGCTTGCAACAAAAAATGTGACGTTTGTAAAACGTCGGCTGCATGCATTGAGTTATGATAAGGAACATCAGCGTGATAAGTTGATTCAATTTTTAACAGATAACGTACAAAAACACGAGGATCTATACAAAATGTTTTTAATAGATCACGTTTCTGTAACGGAAAATATGCACAGAATTTTCATATAATTAATTAGTTAGAATTCAAAAAGTAAATAGTATTGATTAATTGGAAAATTGATTATCACAACGTGATCCGTAAAATCTGGTTAGTAGTAAGTTCTAACAGCACATGAAATTGGTCATTGTGCATTGACCAGTCAGAGTAAATCGATGTGGGTTAAGCAGATCATGAGCAATGTCTTTGACTGTGAAACCAGATAGTTAACATTATTCCACAGCTCCTTGGAAATATCCACATATTTAGAAATGCAGACAGATCTTGTTGACAAACCCATTTGTATAACTAGTTCTTCAATGCTGATAAAATTCTATCGGCTTTATTGCAAAGTAATCGACAACATATGTGGTTCATCAGTGAATGGACTATAACTAGACTGTGACTAGAACACTGTACTTAGGTTTCATGCTGGGTTAGGGGTTTCCTTTAACCTAGCTCTAATTATCTGGCCTTTGTTCCCTATTATTTGTAAACTTAACAATCTGTTGTGATATTCTGAAATATTGAATTATCAAAAAGTCCAAAACGTTAGGGAATCTCGAAGATTAATTTACAAACGAAGAATATTCTTTTCATACACATAATTCCTTTTATTGTCTTGAAGAGAGCGAAATCATAGATTGGTGAGTAGTAATATAAATTCATTTTATTTCGTTAGGTTCTCATCAGCTGTTTACAACCTTAAATATTTTAAAATCAAAATTATCCTAGAAAATGACATACTTGTGAATATAAAGGTGATATGAGATAGATATGTACATCTTAACATTGCGAAGTTTCTGATAACATTAATTAGGTCATAAAAATATGTTACAGATAGATAAAGTGTGAAAGGAAAATTTCCAGAATATCGAACTGGTGATTCGAAATCAAAGAGTTAACTAAATTTAAATGGTTGTGTATTGAAGTAACCGAAGTCAAATTAATGAAGGTCAATAATAATATGAATGAAAATCAGTCATTTAGAATCAAGATTGTGAATTCAAGAGAAATGAAAATGATAAGAAAGTTGAACTAAAGCCTGATGTAATATAAGGAATGTAGTGTTACAGTGCTAAAGAGAAATTTATTAATGTCTCTTTTCGAACTCAAACTTAGTTTCAGAGATGTGATGATTACAGTGGCGGTAAATCAAACTCATGACTTTTGGTAACAGAGGAAATCGGAAGGCGTATTTTTATGATCACTGATTCTTTCAAAGCAATGATCTCATATGTTAAGACTAACTAATAAGTAATGCTAAATTTAAATACAGGGTAGTAGTCGAAAAGTATTAAGTCAGATGATGAGGCGGGGAATCCTAATTTGATTGCAGTGATGTTGGTCAATCTACGTGCATGGTAAAAGAATGTTAGCGATGACCAAACTTAATTAAATACAGGAACAGTCCATGAAGCTGTTGACTGTTGACGTGAACTGTGTTCTCAGAAGATGGTTGAAATTCCTAAAAACCAATCAAGTTGGTGCAGATATATCCACTCCTTATTTTTCTTTTAGATTCTGAATTTCAAAATTTTTTCAATACCTTTTATTCTGCAAAGTTATCTCTCTTGAAAAATATTCTCGATGCCTAAAACTTTTTTTATTATCCTTGACATTTTTTCTGGTCCACTTACATTTGAAATTCATCTTGTCGGTTCTAACAAGACATATTTGTGTAGTAAAACAGGTCTGACATATTACAATATGTGCTGTGTTACTATACATTGCTTATGACTAATTGAATGAACGCATTTAATTAATTACAGACAACAAACTAGTAAAACTTTATACATATTTGCATTTATTGCATCAACACTATTTGACATTATTAAAGATGATAGTTGATTTAAGGTTAGCATCATTAGTAAATGTTGCATGTCATATATATATATTGACGTCAGATCTGTGTAAAACTGACTCTTTAATGTTCGGATTCGCTCATTTGTACTTTATATTACTTGTCTAATTAATGAATTCTTATGGTTTGTTTGTAGGAGAAGTTAAACACGAGTATAAATATTCGTAAAATGTTTAGTATAAAAGGCTGATTAAATTTTGATTTTCTTAGCTGAAAAAATGTTACAGTTTAATACTTGTATCAATAAGAAATTTAAAGGATTCATTCACTTGTTATTCTTCTGAAATTCTATTTATTTAACCATGGAATTATCAATGAAGTAACATTCAGAAAATCATTCCTGACATCCCTAAACACTTTTATTACAATAGAAGTTTTGCATTATTTCCTCTCAATTGGTCGACATGGTGTGTAAACCTTAGACTGGTATTTATGAACTATGATTCAAGGATTCATTTGTATTGGTTATATGAATCTACACACTGATGTTTAGGTCTACAATAGATCAGTCTCTTCCATAACATGTGCACGGTGTGTGAATCGTCTCTATATTCCGATTAAGTTACAAGTATTAAAAGCATAGATAGATATTAGTTGGCATTGGACTCCAGGATACACGTTTCTTTATTCAGCTTGATGTACCGGTGAGGGTTTGAAATATTCAGTTGTAAATGTGTCTAGCTAGACAATAGCGACCTTACTTTTTCAGCTAATATAAGTTAACCAAAATTAACCTGATTGAAACATTAAGAATATTGCATTTTTTCAAAACAATACCTGAAATATTCTATAGGCTACTGTTGTAAGAGCATGTCCATTGGAAAGTCGATCGATTTCAAATATATCTAGACCCCATTCATCCAAACTCTGAGCGAATCTCTGAAATCGACAAAAAAAACTCAATAAAAATATTACGATTGAACGTTGATAGAATGAACAAAAAAGAAAAATGTCGCATACTGAAATGGCGCAGAAATTCAAAATAATATATATTTAAGTCATCAAGTTTATATAATCAATTAGATTTCATTTTCGACTTAATTATAGTGAGTACTGAAAAACAAATTTCAAAATGAGAAATGATTTAAAAGACCATAAAGTTTTATCTGTAACATAATTTTCATATGATACACAACTAAATAATATAGTGGTTGGACACTATTTTTTCTAATTAGAACTTTCTCAACGAAATACTCATGTCCGACAATCTCCATGAATCAAATAGAATCAAACGGTATGCTGTGTGAACGGTAAGAGAGAACTTATTAATCATTGAGAAACTTGTTGGGTTGCGCACTGCTCAAACATTCAAAACTCAAACTAAACAATCGATTTTCAAATTTTTTTTCTCAGATATGGTCAGTTAATAATGAAATATACAGTTATGATAGACAAAGCTTCTCATAAGTTCACATAGTTGACAATATTTTTCAACCAGTTAGTCATCCCAAATCCATTGTAATCCAGCTTATTTATTGATAAACGGTTACATAAATTAATTTACTAAACTGAATAGAAAAATCTTTTCTTTATTTATGATTAATTGTGTCCGGTGAATATAATTTTTATGAGACAATTTCTGTTATTAAGTCATGGAAATTTGAGAATCTAATTGGACATTGAACTATTTCTTGATTTACATCAGTTGTTATAAAAATAATATCGACTTACTTATTTAAACAATTGCTGATAATCAATAGTTTATTTCTTGCTTATTGTTATAACTCGCATTGCTAAATGATGTCTAGGTTCATCATTAGTTTTAGATTTCTGCTACTTCCAAATAGAACATTTCATCCCTGTTATTTTGTATTCAGTTGACTAGACAAACATTAAAACCCAGAAGCAACTATTCAGCTCTTTGGTTCTTTAACAGAAGCACGCATAACCACACCAGGGGTTGAGGTCAAGACCTCCGAGCTATCCAGTAACCTTACGACCATTGAGTTAGCATCCAACGGCTTACATGTGTAACCTTACTTAATTCGTGGTATTGCACAATCATCTTACAATATAATTGGCGGACAAATGCCTCAGTCTTGAAATTACTGAACTCCATTGGTTATGGCTTTTCGTCAGGACTCATAGAATTAATCCTCGAGGTAAGTCACTAGTAAGCATATAGTTATGATTATTATGGTTTGCGAATCCAAGAGACAATGTTTACAATAATATTCATAGATTTCCTAGTGAATGGTATGTAAGGGCGATCCAATAAGCTCAGGTGATATGTACTTACCTTGTCAGAAGTGAAAGAGTTACCTATCAGGAACACTAGGAGACGGCTGCATAACATTCCCAGTTAAATAAAATTAAACATGTAAACTATTAGATGTTGATTACCTAATTCAAATGTTAAGTGGTCATTGTAAGATGTGCACTTCCTAGTCCTGGTTCCAAGTGTCCTATACTGTCAAAATAATAAGCTAATGCATCCCCATTTCCAAGTCTCGTCCAATTAAAGTTGAATCATCATGTCAACTATGTTATTCTAACAAGGAATTTAATACACAAATCTTTAAACTTAAAATCCATAAAACTAAGTTCATACATAGTCTACAGGGATTAAAATGAATGAATCAATCATTTTAAACATACAGAGAAAGAGAGTAGAATATCTAATTTTGTTAATCTCACCACAATCTATCATTATTTTTTTTGTTTTGTTTGAATTTTGTTTATTTTTCATAACTGATAACATTGAGAGTTATAGTGAAGTTTTGTTTTCTACTTTTTTTTTTCCGTGAATCATGAATTTTAAATTCTGTTTGACTTTGTTTATTTGTGAAAAGTTTATGTTCACTCAATTAATAAGAAAAAAAAAGACAGATAAACAAAGTGACTTGAAAAACGTGTATGTGATTTTCTTCATTATGTTGCATACATGATGTTTGTCCATCTAACTAATTTCAATGGATATGTAAATAAGTTCAGTAGGAGATATCAGTAAAGATTATTATTATTTTTCCCTTATTTCCTTATTACATGATTTGTTTATTAGGCTAAATGATTCCTCAGAAAAAAAACTGAACAACAAAATTCATGAAATATGAAAGATGATGTGTTGTTCAAAAAAAAAAACAAAATTTTTCAAATGAATTAAAGGTTTGTATCTCGGGGCCTCAAAGAATACAAGCTGGTTAGGATCTGGCTAAGATTGAGAAGAAAATCGAATATATCTGTGATCTTTCATGTTTTCAGCGTATCAGTTCTCATTTAAAATTATTTTTTAATAAATTTTAGTGGATTGTTTGTCTTCATGGCTTCGGTAAAGCATTTTATGTAAAGAAAGTGACCGTTGAAAACACGTGGAAAAAATTTCAAACCACAGAACACAAAGCTATGAGATAGGCAATGAATCATGGAAGAGTGATGAAAGTGTTTGCATTGTAACATAAATTGGTTTAATCCCTAAAAAAAATTACTAACTGTTTGAAACGAATTGAGTGACATAATGTACTGAGATATTCCGACACATGAATGCTTAATGTTGTAAGTGATATGGAATGGAGAATGCTTGCCGTTGCAAAGTCCTAGTATGAAATGAAATATCTGTGAAATGCTTCTTAGTTTCTATCTGTCATCTGGATGTAGTCAAGTTACGATAAGAACATGAATTTGCAAAAGTTAGTGATCTACATTGATAAATGACCGGTAAATCCCTACAAAACCAAACTTCATTCTCACCCAGATTTTTTTTGATAAATTAGAAACACTCAGGTTAACGTTACTATTGATGTGATCAACGTCTCATATATCTATTATAACTGCGAAAGATTGAATATTAGAACACATTTTGGCTATGATGCATAAAAATAGCAAAAATATATGCAACATAAAACGTAGGCTTAAGTAATGTTGATTGATATTAATCATTTTAAGTGAGGAAACTTTATATCTACAGTTTAAGAGATGGATGTGTCTGTTACTACTGATAATCATTAAGTGTTTCACTAGCCTTACGGTAACCAGTAAAATTATTCTGCCAAGTAATTAAGTAACATTGATTGTATTAAAGTAGAGAAGAGTAGAAAATTTATGATCAAAACACTTCAACTATTGTGACCTATCAAAATTATGCAAAATTTATGTGATGTTAAGTTGCAATTCAAAAGGATTTTTTTTCGAGTAACTTCACTTTTATGCCATGGAGTTTGATGATCACGACCAATTCATTCAGTGTTAATTAGTTCAACTACTGTTTTTAATGTTAAGTATCGGATAATTGTGAGATGATAAAATATTCTACTTTTCTTTCAAGTTTCAATGCATCTCACATAGACTAAAGGTGTTTCTTCTATAGCGAACCAAAGAATCACAACATTGAACATTTAAACTTATCGATATTTTGCAATACTAGACATTTATATTCAGTTTCACTTCTATGGTTAGATCTAAATGGTAACCTGGATACATAACATAAGCTGGTTAATCAAACAGAGAAATTGATCAGTGGTTTTCTATTAGTTCACATGTCTCAAAAAATGAATAAGATACTATAAGAGTACTTTAATTGTCGGAACTTACTTCTTCTAGCTCTTTTTCATGAGGCGTTTCAACTCCATGAATTGGTAGTGAGGGTTCATTACCATCGTCTATGTTATAACTTGTTAAATTAGAACTAAATGATAATTTTGTTGTTGATAAACCACTTAAATCATTTAGTTGAGTGCTTTTACGAGGTTCAATTGACATATTTCCACTAGATCCTATTCTGGTTTTCATAACTGATGCTGACGAGGAAGAAGTGTCCGTGGTTCTTGTATTGACTGTATTAGCGTTTACATCACCAGCTATTGAAGATTGTCTTTTACTTGTCGTATTTGTATCTTGTCCACTGGTTGAACTGTGCGATTGACCACTACTACGTCGTCTTTCCAACATTGAGTCAATCTCTTCATTGGTTTCAACATCTTTTTCAGTTTCTGTATGGTAATAAAGCGATTCGATATGGAAGAAAAACCTGAATATATTTTCAATAGTATAACAAAAACATCTCGAATCATAACAAGTTAAAACTAGTTAAAATTATTAGTTGGTTGTCTGAATGTACTCTGCGTACTAGTCTTGGATGATACACCAGTAATATAATGAATTAACAGAAATTTACTGAGTGTATGTTTGAATAACATCTGTAAGATTCTTCTCCATATGGATAAATGTCTACTTACATATTACGAAACTTTATAGAACGATCAAACATTCATCATTATGAATTTAAAGCCATCAGTAGTGTACCGTTAAGAACTTAAACTAGATAAGCAATCATTGTTTAACTCTAAACCTCATAGTACAATTGTTGAATACTTGTACTAATACTAAAATATGTCACTGGAGCAAAAAAAGAAATAAATCTTATTCAGTGAAAGAGGAAGAATTATACCTATTTAGTTTATTTTCAAATTCTTCCTCCATACACATAGTTCAAGAGAATGAAAATGAAGTGTTCCAGTTTCATTGGAAGAAACTGTAAATGTAAATATGTTAAAATAGTAATTTTCACTGTGGGTGTATACTGTACCTTCCAGTTGGCAGAGATAAGTGTTTTGAAGTAAATAATGCGCAAATTATGCTCACTGTGGAACTGGTATCGTGAAACTTAAATCACAAGAGAGATGTTGCTTAGAATTGTTGACAATCAATATAAATAGAAGTATCAGTGTTCATTTTGTAGAAGAGTATAATAATCATCATGGTCATTTTTAGCTATAATAGACTGGACGACGTTGAGTAACCCTCTTCCTATAGAAATTTCATTTTCTATGTTCAAAATCTTTTACAAACATACTAATTTATAATAAAAACAAAATATTTTTAAAATGTAGTTTGGTGTGACACAAGAATAAAGCCATTTAGATCAGTGAGGTGTCATGTCAATTACCCCCATTCCCTAACCTTACATCTCAGCATAGAGCACAAAATATCGAGTTTTGTAGACTGGTGACGACATAGCGACTTAATAGATAGGATTCGATCATTATTAAGAAGAAATTGACATATATGGTATTGGTCAACACTCAGTGACCAAATGGTTTTATAATATCTCTGCATAAATGAACATTTACAATTAAAATGTTGTACAAAATACAATTAAAAACTACTGACTAAATAATCCAAATGAAGTGTAAATCCGAAGTAATTTTCTAAAATCAGGTGGTTGTAGGTTTGACTCTCTGATATTATGCCTGTACGCTATTTTTGAGAGCCTAAATCAAGAATAAAACAATACTTTCTGAACTTCACATAGTTTGCTGTTGGTATTCATTCTTGTCAAAAAATAACCTCACTCAATATGCTACAACTTGCTTCTCAGCTCTCTGAGCTAAAATCATGTGTAGTGTGTATGTGTGTGGGTGAGTACTATTCTCAAGCTTGATAATATTCCGAAATAATTGTTAGGACTGAACCCATCAGAGTAATAGGATATATCCAATTTATATAACTCTAAATCACGGTTTGAAAAAGTTTGAATTTTACTGTTTCTGTTAAGCAAAACAACTAGTTCATGCGTTTATTTTCTCTGAATGAAGAAAAGCATATCAAAAGGTTCTACTCCATTGAAAATTGATTTTTATGGAAATTTTTTCACAACAATATATTCCAATACGGAAGTCACACAAAAACACTATCACTAAAAGAAACGTTAGGGAAGTTATCGTTATTGAGGGTATTTTTTTATCACTGAGCTTTGATTTCAGACAATACAGGCAATACAAGGGTAACTAATAAAACAAAATGATATGAATCCATACGGTTTTGTCTGCTTTTATCAGTTCACAAAATGTATCCATTCAATTGTAAGATAGTATGATGTTGCTTAATCAAACGTGGTGACCGTAGCTAAGTATTAGGTTCAACCATGAGCTTTTATATATATATATATATATATATATATATATATATTTATATATATATATCGTTAGTTTGATACTTTACAGAACAAAGAAAACTAATCAAATAAAGACCGGGAAAAACAGAGTTGCAGCATTAATAAACTAGATAGTTTTTTATAATCACAATTTCCATGTCTGATGATGGAAAATCGGTTTTATCTTTCATTGAGTAGGAGACTTTGTTTTTTTAAATTTTGTCTAGTGTTCCAAGGTGCTAGATAGAATACACAGATTCTAGCTAATATTTGTATTTTTTTCGAAATATCAGAAAAGTATTGGTGCATATACTTCTGTAAATATTTGAAATGCATACTTATTTTCAAATTGATTATGTATATTTACTTTAGTACTGATGTCTAACAACTAATGCACAATTTACCAACTACAAAATTGGAATACTATTGCCTATTTAGAAGAGGTCGGTAATTTTTGATGCCCAATATTTTAGGGACTCAGTTGGCTAACGTCCGTCACTATATAAACTTTTTGAACAGATGTCTTAATATGAACTCTTATAGTCACTAGCAGGTTGTATACACTTAAATACACTTACGTAGTTCTTGTGACTTGTAGGTGTTTGAAGCAGTGGTTGGTGAGTTTGATTCTCAGTTTGAACATTAACGTTTAATGACAATTAAGTTTAACTGATCAGTTTAGATTCGGACAAACTAGAATTCTATGACTAGCTAATAATCGTCACTAAAGTTATCACCAACTTTGGATGAATACAATAAAGAGAGATTGCTTCAAATATCTCTTAAAATCAATGTACACTTATTAATGCCATCCAAAATGGCAGCACTTGAAAAATACACCTTAACACAGTTATAATAAACAATTGTTAATTCAATTTAATATACTGTCAGTAATAATTAATGATAGGTTACTTACCTAAAAATGTTTCACATATATAAGCAGATATTTGATGCCTAGATTTATCAGCTTCACCAAAACTACTCAACTCTTTATTGAGTAAACGTTTGAACTTGTCGAAAAAAAAAATAATAAAAACGAAGAATATTTTTTTGAAAAAAAGATAAATAACTATTAGTTATGCATTTCAATGAATAATGCTTGTTTCAAATGATAAGATCTATAGATCAATTCATTAGTTGGCTTTAAACCATGTAGCAATATAATGTTCAAATGTTATGTAAGTGTTCATTGTTGGGGATGTTAGATCCCCAAAATTCGCTTGATAATGCCGTATTTCGGTTTTCACGTTCGCCAGCAGGGGCTGATCAAATGACCTTGAGATTTCAATTCCCACCAGGAAAATCAATGGCTGTGATTGGCTACAGTGTATTTTAGCATGCTATTTTCTTAACTGTCTCAAGGACGTTGTTATGTTGTATAAATAAACGAGAGTTGTATGCTTGATTGTACTGGGATTGCTGGGTGCTTGTAGAATATACTTCTACGCCTACAAAGTCTTCTATTTCGATTCTGGGATTTAGGGTAGCCTTCCTGGAAGCTGGTAAAAGTCTCGTTCGCGTTTATCGACTAAGGTAAACTCGTAATAGCATCAAGCATCCTAAATGACGAACATATCATTCATCCATCATCTAGCAGTGTTGTATTCTAGTTCCATTTAATTCGTTAAGTTTAAAAGACTCAGTGAATAACTATTTTATTATGATACTCGCTTAAACATTAACCCACTTTAAATAAAAGTAAGCAAGCTTTTATTTATTTCACCACAATTGTTGAAAAATATTTTGTTTTTTGATATTATTGCTATAAACTCACTTTTGAAAAAGCCATATCAGAGACAGGTCGTTTCGTTTGAATATTTTCCAATTGTTTCAAACACCATTCTAATTCTTCAAGTGTTTCATTGGCAAGTGTTTTATATTCCATACCTTGGAAATAATTTAAACAAAAACCCAGTAACAAATTATGTACGACTAAAAAAAAAAGAAAATTGAACATTTCCAAAGGAAATTTCAAAAAAAAAAAAGAAAAAAGTTTTGTCAAAATTTCTGTGTATAAATTGCCATTTTCTCTTTAGGGAATTCGATTAATTGCAAGTTAATTAATCATTATTCACAAACTATAATAAACATGACAGAATAGAATAAAATCAAACCAACCAATGTAATAAATCATTAATTTTAAATTTCTATCAACATTACTCAATGAATAATCTACCTTTTGTTGATTTAATCTGTATAATGTTAGCTATCCACAGTGATAGTTTTATAACAAACAAATTTGTTCAACTGAAGTCATTTTTATCAAGTATCCACGACGCGTGAATATGTTATGCACAAAGGTATGTATGATTAATTGGTGAAAACAAGACAAACTGAGTCAATGATAACTGTGCAATGTAAAGTACAAACTGATAGAGTGGTAACAAGTGTACTGGTTACAATAAGAATAATAAAGGCTTAAATCAACATTACATAATAAGGAGAAAGATAAAACTGTTTGAAGAAGTAGACACTAAAATAACATTCATTATCATCATAGATCATGTAAGAAGAACAAACAAACGTTTGCACAGCTGTTCAAGACAGGCACCTCAGAAACTTCATCAATTAACCAAGCTCTGAATCTTTAATAGCTTTTGCGGATTATCACTGAGGACAAAATCGGCTTACCAACATGACAGGAATATTTATTATCGGTTATCAGTAATATTTTTTTTCACAGATAACCTAAATGCAATCACTTGGTGACTTGTTTTTATCCATCATTTATCTTTACAACTTCAAGTTCCAGTAGAGAATTTTCATGTATTTTTATTTTTGTTTAGTTTGCACATTTGTCTACTTAATCGATAAATAAACGTGCAGATAAACTGAAATCGTGATTGTTTTCACTTCATTTACACTATTCACATTATTATATATGTTTATTTAGATTATGATTATGTCATATGATTACGTTACAAAGAAGTAAGAAACGATATTTAGAAATTGAGCACAGTTTTTACTTCACACAGATATACTTTATACTAATATTATTGTTATTTATACTGTTCTGTTTATAATTTAATCTCATAGATGAAGATAGTTATTAATCTGTTTTCAATCCGAGAGTTCTGAGTTTATTGAAATCTCTGAAATAAAAAAAACTATAATTAAATGATTAGCTGCAGCATAAGTAGTAAAAAAACACAATTAAAGTGTACTTGAGACTTGATGATCATTTCTTATTTCCGTCACAAGAATGTTATGAACAATTCAGACCCCTAACTGATAAACAAACATAAACCTGGTCTTCTCAAACCTATTTGTTGTTTGATATAAAACAACAAACAATTTCATCGTTCACGATTACTTTGTAATTCCAGTGTTATTACAAACGTTTCGTCAAAAGAAAGTGATGTTGGGTATTTGAAGGGAATCAATTAGCAATCTTTAGCCTATGTTTTGTGTTAAGCTTACAGGGCTTTTCCTAGTTTTTGAATGGACAAATCCTGGGTCTTAGGTTTGAATTCTGTGAGGTGCAGGAGTTGTGGATGCGCACTGCTGATGAGTCCCATACCAGGACGAAACGGCCATCCAGTGCTTCCAAGTTTCTAATAGTGGTCTAACAATGATGCATTCATGATTTCTGTCTAAAGCAACGTTCTCCATAATTATATAACGCAATAACCTAATTAACCTCTTCTGCCCGGGTCTTTATTCTCATGTCTTTCAACTTAGTCTAATATTCACGCATAACCTTGGCTGTTTTTGTTTTTGTGTACATTGCTTGCTTCGCTTCTTACATGTCTAGCCAATTTTTGCCTGACCAAAGATACTTAATCATGCCTCGTTGCATTGAGCTGGCTCACTCTCTTCTAATTCCTTCGCTTTGCTTTCGCACTTTTAGTTTTCATGTGTGTTTACATTAATGACTGCCTGAAATAAACTCACACAGCCTAATTCGTATTTAGCCTCTTAATACTATCATCGCACAAATGGGGTTCGCCTAAACATGATTGATGGAAGCTGAAGGCAAGATCTGTTTCATAACAAACATATTTAATCGTTCATCCAGTCAAGGGTCAGGTGCTGGCCAATAAAACCTATCATTTTACAAGCGATGACATTGTCCACTAAGCTACAGTGATCAGAATTAAAATAACTCGACTAAAGAGTTTGAAACCTCTCGTTATGATGTGTATCTTTGTTTTGACAATGACAAACGCTACATTAAACCTACCACTAATGATTTTTATGTAAATTATATGCGCCTTCTTTGATGTAAGTAATTTTCGGACAAAAAGATTTTGCATATGCGCCCTAGTTAAAAGATCATTTTAGCTAAAGACCGAAATTATTTGTGGAGCAGATGGTGAACAGACGCTATAGAAGAGTTTTTTTCGTAGTTTCGTTTTTTCTAGAATAGTTACTAGTTCACATATCGAACTAGTAAAAATAAGCTATCAAATAACATATAATTCTAAAATGGTTTATTATCTGATATCGAATAATCCTCATTTTTTCAAGTACACTACATAAAATAAATTAGATTTAAAATTTGGAAGGGATTCTAGAAGTAATTTCTGAAGTCCTTATGAGAAACAGTGGCAAACAAAGTTCAGAAATAAATATCACCAATGGTGATGAATAATAGTTGTTATAGTATGAAAGAATTATTAAACTAGGGTACATGAACCACTGGTCCTTATTTTAGTGGTTTCAAGGTGAAGTGGTTGAGTGCGAAATCGAGGGTTTGCCATTCGACTTATACTTGAAGGATTTTAGATGCGCACTACTAACGAGTCACATATTAGGATGAAACAATCGTCCAGTGCTTCCTGGTTTTCAATAATGGTCAAACAGTGATCGGTTCATGGTCTGAAGGCAGCTCAACAATCTCCGTGACTCTATATTGACGATTTTGTAATTATCAGTTTTGTAGATTGGGAAAATAAGTATTTCTCTGGTTTTTAATGAATGTTATTACCTTTAGTAAGCTGGGTTATTGTTATCATATGATCAAGATGAGTGTTACTCAGTTAGGTCAGAAATGAACCGAGGAAAAGAAAGGGATGAACATATTTCTACCGAAAGCAAAACTTCAGCATTCCGATCCAAATATCTATTTCTTCAAATGTTTGAGTGATTCTTAGTCTGATAGGTTCAGGCAGATGACTGCTAGCTTGGTCTTTCCTATCCCATGTTACCGATATTTATTCATGGTGGTCGATGGACACGGCTGAAAAGTTCTATACAAGATGAAATGGCCTTGCAGTGCTTCCAAGTTTCGTTTAAATCGATCAGTGAATTTAATGAAATTCAACAATCTCCACAACACCATACTGACTACTTAATTTAATTTTAATTCACATGCTCCATTATAGGTAACAGATGTAAGTACATAAGTAAGTAAATTTATATGGTATAATTTTAAACGATATACTTGACTTATACTCGATCACTTTTAGGATTAAGAATTAGGATATATAATTGCAGAACCTGAATAGAATTAACTGAAAAGAATATTCTTTGTTCTTTATCGATGTGTTTTGAATACATTATTGCCGATACACTTTACATAAGCGTTTAAATATCGCATAGTCCTCTGAATTTTTGTTAATAAATAGGACAAATCGAGTAAATGTATAAAATTCAGTGAGTTTTTATGTATTGATTGGACTCACAAAAGTCATCCCAATAAAGTAAAATCTCAGTAAAATTAATCTACTTTTTGAATAGAGAACGGTGAGAAATTTCAAGTCATAAGTTTCATAAGAATACAACTATAGCTGACATATTCCGTTTTTAACTAAGGTGAAACAAAATTAAAAACACAATCAATGATTAGGTTTCCAAACTAAAACTGTCTCCGAATAACTGTTTTCATAAATTGTCATAAAACAAGATCAAATCAATATGTACCATTATGCACACTAATACATGGAAATAATATATTTTTCTCTTATTTATGTTAATCTGATAATATAAAAATAATGCTTACCTAAATGTTTAGTTTAATTGATGTGCATTCTTGTAAAACGATGAGTAAATACTATACTATACATTAAGTGTTCAAGTATTCATTAAATGCAAGCAAATAAAACTTGAACATTGAACACATACTTTTTTAAGATATGTTTGTGAAAAAAAGCGATAGGAGAAACAAAGAGAGACATGTCGACAAATGATTGACAGTGATGAGTAGTTGAATTTCTTGTTTAAAAAAAATGTTATGATTAAATATTAAAGTTCTTTACAGAATTTATTGACTAGACATTGAAAAAACAATGAGCTATTGATTTATGTTTTGTTCAAAAGACGCTTTGACCGGTTTGTATGTAAAGGCTGTAATTGATAAAACTTTCCCGTCATAAAAGTTTTTATTAAATCTCATGTAAACCTTTAATTCTAATGTACTTTTATCCATTAACAAAGAGGTGCTAGTGTATATTGATCTTTCAACAGTGTTACTAATAAGTTAAAATGGCTGAGTTTTTAAAAAAAATTGGAAGAAATTGATGGAGATTAAGTTGAAATCGTTTTTCCATGGACTTATACCCACTAAACACGTGAAAACCGGGAAGCATTAGAATTCACTTTCCGTTTAAATATAATTATTTTCGACATTCATACAGCTAAGGCTCATAAATGACGGAGACCAGCAAGAGAGATAAAGATCGTGACGTAACAGTGCACAAGAAGCATTTACCGGTTGTTAAGATTACTTACTTACCTACTTACTTTCTTACCTACTTACTCATCCCTTTTTTCCCTCATGGAGTATAGGCCGCCGACCAGGCTTTTCTGGTCAGCGTTTTTTAGAGAGTTTTGTAATGATTAGGATAAACAAAGTGATGCAATCAGTAGTAATCACCATAAGAACAATAGTATAATAATCATATTATTGGTGATAAATATGATCATAGCAGGCAGTATGGGGTTGTGAAGATTGTTGAATTTCATTGAAATCACTAACTGATATTAGTTAGACAACGGTTGAGAATCTGAGAGCGTCCAGTGCTTTCAATTCGCAATGTTTGTCCAACTTAGATCAGTTGGACTTGATAACACCATTTAATAGTCACACAAGTGTAATTGAATCTTCATTTTCATTAGGACGCTAGTTATCCATACAATATGTTATGTTTTATGAATCACTGACATATATCACGTTTCCAGTCACTGATCAGAATCCTAATTCTAACACGGTCTGCCGTTAACCCGATACTTTAATACCCTTGACCTGGCCAATCGCACGCTTGACCAGCACCCCTAACCTTAAGTAAAGAGCCAAACTTCTTTCGGCCGACTATTCTGAAATTTTTGTATAAACCAAACTTTGAGTTCGAAAGTAGTAACCAAATCTGTACGATACTTATGCCATAACAGTTATACAATAACACCTGTCATCATAAAGTGAAATATAACAACTATACTTGAAGAAGCAAAAGTCGCTGTGAGTAGGATGACGAAAATGATAGACTGGCAACACATTAAGAATCGTAAGTTATTTTTCACAATCAGTAGTGAGTTTACCAAAATCTTATGATAGAAAGAATACAAATATATAGTCATACAGCTGCTCAATAAATGATCTGTAAAGTCACTAGCTCGTAAGGTGTACATCTAATAAGAAATGATGATTAGGAGAATTCGGTCATATTATGTGCAACACTAGTACTGTCGATATTTATAGACAATGACCTCTCAATATTAAGTTTGAAACATGTACCATGGAATTCCCAATTCAATAGCTTGAAAATTTTCAATTGACTTATTCATAAGTGTAACGCACAACGTTCAAATTATCTGATTTCCATATGAAAAATAAAATATTTTCAAATATTTTTATTCAATTCAGTAAATGATTTAAAAGGCACAGAAATGAAACGCAACATGTTTGCGTGACTTGATTTGATTACTAGCCATTTCGTTGTAAAACTGGTTCTTTCTTGCTTTTGATACTCTTTGTTTACTTCATTCATTTTATTTATTCAACAAACCGTTTTTTCTTATTTAAAATCAACGTGAAATACAAACAAATGTACTTAAATCCTTGCGCTCAACTATACATACAGTGAACATGTTACAAATAGTTCAATGAAATAGAATAATTGTTACTCTTTGCCTATTTTTCATTTAATTGTTTCACTTTATTTGTTTTTTCCTGCCTTATTTGTACAAAATTTTTCATTTCATTTCACTTCATTTAATAACGTAGGTAAAGAAAAAAAGTTTAATTGGTCAGTCAATTTATTAAAACCTACTGACAGTAATTAAAAATCAGAAAATTATAAATAATCTTTTTTACAACGAACTTTAGTGAATATTCATTTCTGTTCATATTTACTTAACTAATTTACATATTCACATAATTACAAACAATAATATTCACAAGAACAAATTTCAATAGTAGATAAAAATTAATAAGAACATAATAATTTTATTCGAAAACAAGATATCATTGTTTTAGATACATTTTTTTTTAATTAACTGATCCTAATTAGAAAAATCGTATATAAATTTAATTAGTTCAGTTTGTATTAATCATGACCGTACAGTTCTACTAGTTTAAAAATGCACTTTTTTAAGCAATAGAAATTCCGGTTACATTATGTTAATATTTAGGTTCAATAGCAAAATCAACAAACTAACCAATCAGATTCAACAAACTGATTAAAAACGCCTATGTACAAATCGATATTTCAAATGATTTATTGTTTCAACATACGTATATATATATATATATATATATATATATATATATATATATATATATATATAGGACTACACACCTACATATATTGATTTATTATTCACAATATAAAGTAATATTTCTTGTCATGATCTTCCTTTTTTATTTTAAATGCTAAAACTCAAATAATACACTTTGATTAATTTTTTATTATTTAGCATTAGGATGAACCAAAGAGAATCGAGTTGACTTCTGCGTTTTATTGTCAAATGTTAAAATAAGTGAGTTTTATCTTAAATCACATCAAACCAACAATAGAAATACCTCGGTTTCGTAATCACGATGCAGAAAGCAATGATGAAAATTTATGTTTTGCCCACATAGAGTCCCATTAGTCGCGATATATATACATCCAAATAGTCAATACATACCGACAAAATTGTACATGGTATGCAAACCAACGTTATCCTAAAATAATATTCCTAAATACTTCACCCTTTATATACAATTCTAACTGTGTAATCGCAAACGTTTGATTCTAATCTAACACCTCCAGTTCAAAACAATATAGATATTTCTAAAACTACATCCTCATCCTTACAAGTATTCCAAAAGACAGATGATATATGTATATACCAGCATACATGTCATTTTGTTTTCTAGTACATTACAAAGTAACCTGTTGAAGGTTTTTTTAATGCTGTTACCTGTACTTCACACGCTGTTCATTTACAATGCACTTTTTCTATTGGTTACAAAGTTTTTAAAATTTGTTGCAATAGTTTCAGGCTTATTTTTATACCTTTAAAATCATGAATCATTCAATGTTAGACCACCATTAGAAACTTGGATGTACTGGACGACCATTTCGTCTTAATAAGTGACTCTTCAGCAGTGCGCATCCAAAACCATCATTTGCGGGAATCATACCCAGGAACTTCGATCTCGTACTCGAACGCTTAACCTACAAACCACTGAACCTGCTTCCAATAGTGCGTATGTCTAACTTTGATCGATCTATCAATTTGTATTAGTCTTAACATTGTATAAGTCATTTTTATAGTTTTATTTGTCATAAAATGTAATCATACAAAATAGTAAACCATAATTACTTACTGTCTGGTACGAGATTGTCTTTTGGAACATAATCAAACACGGTTGTGATGTTATATCTGCAAGATACACAAAATAAACAATTAAAATCATTCATGTGAAATGTAATAAAAAAGTCTTTTTATTCATAATTTTCTCTTTTAAGCGAATAAAAATATGAATAAAAAATAAAAACTGTATCGATCGAAAAGTGTGTTTTCCGATAACAGTCAAATGTGAACAGAGATTTTGCACAAATTGAAAAAATTTTAAAAAAGAACTTGATCAGATTAAGGACAGCTGAAAGAGTTAATAACCAATAGTTGTTTAATTCACAGCGAAAGCTTTTTTGTAATTAAGTAAAACCTGCAACTTCCATTAATAATTACTTCAGCTAAATTTTCCACTGCAAACCTGCTATCGATTTCCGAAGCCAACATTTTGAAAGGAAATCACAGATGTTTATAAAATGTAGGTGTTTAATCACAGTATTGTACAGCCGGATCTAATGTCACTATTCTAGAAAGCTAAAATTACAATCTTTTCTCCTTCATTATTTGTTTAAATCTTTTAGTCTTGATAATTAGAGCATCTTGGACTACCATTTAATTATGAAAATTCAAATCGAAGCCTTATTTTTCCAACATAATTTCATCTTATACAGTTATTGTGGGACGATTAAAACTCGTTCACTTTCTAACGTTTAAATGTAGTTTGTTCGCAATACACATTACCAGCTTGTAAATATCTCTTTCAAATCAGCTTACTATCAAATAATGTGTAACCTATATAGTTCTATTCTTCACTAATTCGTATTGTATAAGAAATATTCTTCTTACCGGAAAAATGAGAACATTATTTCATTGACATTGCTAGCTATCAGTTTAAGTCCTGATTCAAAGTGTCAAGAAATAGATATAAACTTTTACAAATAAAGAATGTTTAAATGAACATCCGTTCTTCAGTAACATTGAATATCATTAAAATCGATTTCAGTGTGTATTTTTTCACATAATAGCAACTTCATTTAAATTAGAATGAAACACTATATTCATGAAAATATTGAACATTGTAACTTGATTGACATGATAACCAATTGTTTGTTATAAAATAATTGACCTAAGAAACTATATTTAATTTGTTTAAATATTATATTCATTTAAACAACATAGATGTTTAGCATTCATAGAAGAGGATAATCAATTTTTCGAAAAAAAATATATATAATTCATACAGGCTTAAAAAAATTGATTAACAAACACCTGTGGTAATGTAATTAAGGTTAGGTGTTTTTAGCGTAAATTATCATACGAATTCTTATTAGAAAAATCTCCTTTATTTGAGACTAAAAATAGAATGTGAATGAAATTTTCTCAGGAGTAATCAACATAGTATAACAACAAAAACGAATCAATAGTGAATGAAGTATGATGAAAAGATATGTATATATACATACTTAATACAATGAAAAGTTAATTTTATTTTGATCATGAGTGTAGGGAATTTTCCCCCTCAAAAATGAATCCTTCAGAATAGCTGAAATTCAACTCTAATTGTTTTCTTTGAAAAGAAAACAACTTTATCCATTATCTCTAATGGTTGATTTAACTTATAACAGAATAAAAGAGTAATATTACACATGATCATTTTTCTATTAAATAATAAATAATAATAATAATAATGAAAATAAATTTTATCTGATCAATATTCAATTTTTTTTAATATGAGTTTCGTTTGTTTGATTTCCTCTGAAATTGCATCTGATTAATGTTATTAGTTGTTTTGTGTTTGTTGTATTTAAAAATTTATCAAGTTGTTTTTTTTATTCTTTTCATTTAATAAAATTAATAAGTATTTTTAACACAAATATTCACTTCTGCGCAATATCAACATAAATTATAAATTTAATTCTAATTCATTTATTGGATTTCATATACACACTAAGTATTATTAGCTTTTGAAAGTTATTTATATGATTTGAAGTTATCCTAAATTATATTTATATACATATATTTCTTCTCAGCCCGTAGAACAAACCAGATTCCAGACGGGGAAGAAAGTAGGAAAAAGCACTAGAAGTGGACAGGCCACACACTGAGGAAAGCGCCTGACTATGTCACAAGGCAAGCCCTGATCTCAACCGTCAAGACTAAAGGAAAAGAGAAAGATCAAAGCACACACTACGCTAAGAATTGAAAGCAGACTTGAAAAGAATAAACCACAGTTGGATATAACTTGAAAGAAAGGTCCAGGATAGAGTAGGTTAGAGAATGGTGGTTGACGGGCTATGATCCGTTAAGGATAACAAGCGTAAATAAGAAAGTAAGTCTCAGCCCACCTTTCAGTTACCTTGAATCTTTCCACTAATCACCGTTTATTTGTAGGCTAAGTCTGTACAGTTAAACATACTATAGCTTCTATCTGATACACATATCTTTTAATATAAGTGGATAGATCAAGCTGTTAGCCTGATGATTCAGAAGTTTATAATGAAGGCTACAAGAAAAGTGTGTAGAATTTACCGAAATAAGTTGTAAGAAAAGAGCCTTCGACTGTGATACGATGAAATAGATGAAGTTATTCATAGTCATGTTGGAGTTTACTTAATATGAAAAAAATTCACGAATGAAAATTTGTTACTTTTGGTTAGGTAAATTTGTGATCTATAGATTCATGAAGTAGAAAAATTGATTGGTCATAGAGTAGTGACTGACCTTAGGTTTGTCAAGTCTTTTATTACTGATCACGTTTTATCAAATAGGCTTCAATTCGGGCCCTAGCTAGAGCAACTCGAAATCTCAAGGACAAAGTTTGAGATGTTTATTAGTTAGATTTAATCGACAAAAAACGTAAAATCCACGTTTTGTGCTAGCTGGCATTCGTCTACAAGGGGTATCCTCGTCTGCTACACAACTGTATAAATATCAGTCTTACAGCGAACCAGCTAGTACCTGAATTACTTACTGGCGATACTTCATTCTGTGAGAATTCTGTGAAAAAATATCAGATATATCATATTCAGAATGTTCAGAGACTCCTGTCAACTAATACTAAAAATTCAACCTGTTAAAGTAATAGTCTGCTTATCTTATTAAATTTTAAATAAAATACAAACTTTTTCATGTAAATACATACAATTTTATTAATAGTAGTTCAATAAATTAGAATATATTTAACCTGAAACGGTTTCTTGATTTTATGTCATGATACTTCCCGAGAATTAGGAAACAAAAGATTTACAACATAGTTGCTTATCATATAGTCACTTGTTTTATTTTCTTACAACTTACTAATAATTGAATGAAAAGTTTAAACTGTTTTTTACAGCTGTTACGCACACTATCGTACACTTTCAACTTCTTTCTGATTTACTTCGGCTAAAAAATGAATGCGAAGGTACATCATAGGTATTTAAAAACAATCTGTTAGTTGATTATGAAAATTATCAAACTAATAAATTTTACGTTCATTGATTATTTATTGAATATATTTTATTGAAATTATAGAGATTTGCAGCGAAAATCACTAAACTTAGTCAAAAGGTAATCCGTAAATAAAATCCTTCAAGAAAAAATGAAAAGAAGAAGACTAAAGAACCCCTTTTTCCGGGACTCGGAAGCAAATATCAAAAAAATAGATAGTATTTAGAAACGATTGAAAAAGAAAATTCAGGACAAAAAACGGTTGGCAATAACTGGTCAGCCAATGCCTTACGGGGGGTAAAAAGCTTAAGTAATTCAGAAAGTTGCAGCTCAGGTGAATGCTTTTGATAATGTTATAATTTTTTAGCGTTGAATGTTTCGATTCTTAAGTTTTCATTATTCCCTTACATGACATCATTAAAATATGTGTTACTGGCCAAAGTCTCACTATTCGGCATGGCTAAATCAAAGTAGTGAAGCCGTGGACGAAAAGTTAGCAAAACATTTTACCTACTGGTTAAAATATATGAATCCAATGTGAACATGTCAACGAATAATCTTAAATTATCTATTTTGTTACAAATTGGTTATTGTAAATAAATAAAAATCATTACATAATAATTATTATTCGTAGATTCTCCACTCCAAAAACATAAACAGAACTAACTAGTATTTAAACTGTTAACTTGAATTATGAACATACGTAAACACTTCAATCAATTAAAAGATCTACTGTTCATCAGCAATATTGAATAAACTTAATATCGGTTCTTTCATCTACAAGCATGTTGTAATCCAAACAAAAGAATAACAAGTATTCATTCAATTTGACAAAAAAAAACATGCTATGCATTGTATCAGATACATTTAAATTTGGCATATTTGTTTACGTAAAATGATTAAACTCATTGTAAGTGTGAAATAGACATTGAGTTATGTCAAAATCATTTAATTGTAAATTGAATGACTACAATCAAGTCAATGTTCTTCAATAAGCAATGCCATAATTGAATCTCTAAAGAAAGAATTAATTTATGGTTTATGAATAAACAAACAAAAATAGGGCGATAATCAGAGTCATTCTGCTATTGTATTATATTATCTTTTCTAATGTAATTTGAAACGACTTCTATGATAGTTTGTAGGTGCTTTATTGCAATGTAAAACTGATCTATCAAATGTAATTTAATATGCTTACATTAACACACCAAATTCATAGCTTAAAATTCTGAGTTCAATTGTTTGCTGAAACAAGCGTGATGCTAACTAATTAGAAAGTTGAAAGATCGCTTTATAAAGCAATAAGCCTGGCAAAAAATGATCAGAAACTGGATGTCAGTTTAAATTGCTTTTGTTCTGGTACGGCACTCCTGGATATAAAAATCTTCACAAACCTCGTACGGCAGTAGTACGTCAGTATCATTAATTTAGGGAAATTATGATTTATGAACTATCTTTGAGCTATACAAAAATGACATAGAACATAATTTAAAGCATTAACTAGCTTCCAAACAGTGCTATGGAGTAGTGCTAGGAATGAGGTTGAAAGTCACACCCGGGAATTAGAGGTGGATGTCAGCTATATTTTCAGAATGCTACTTAGCCATAGAGAGTATTCATTTTTTCTCCAAAATTCAGGAGGTGCTATCTAAAATATG